GTTATGTTCTTGCTAAAATTTTTATTTTGGATCATTGTGAACCCAAAAAAGTTACGGAATGCAGCTTTAAAATGATTGTATATTTATTTTAAAACATTTCCATATAGCTATGATTAATGATTTAGTTTTGTTTTTAGTTTTTGTAATTTAAGTAACTCAAACTAATGTTTTTAGTTAGATGCCAGGGCCGCATTTCTAATTTTCACTTCATATTTTCATCTAATATTTATATTATAACAAATATAATATAATATAATTGAGATATAATAATTACTATTATATTATTTTAGAGATTAGCACAAATACTCCAGAAAAAGTATAGTTTATAAAAGTAAATCGTCCAAGCACAATTTGCATACTATTTAAATGTACCATACTATAATTTAGGATGTGCTATTCTAATCTCACATATTATTAAGGACAAGGAATACACGTCTCATATTGTAAAACTACATAGTATGTAATTTAAACAATTCTCATTCACTGCACTACACACTATCTAGAGCACACTTTTCATGTAGTCTGAAAAGAAAAAAAACATGGAAGAACAGGATAGAAAAAGAGTTGGAAAAGAGGAAAGGGAGCGACAGTATAAGGTGTTATAGAAAGTGAGGAGAGGTGGAGAGGGGGAGGTGTGAGAGCACAGATGCCATCGCTCCAGCCCATCTCTGACTCATGCACACTGCTGAGAACAGATGGTTCACCACAGCGTACATGCACACTCACACGCACAGGAAACATTCTCACACACTAAACATAAATACGCTTTCACTATAGGTTTGTTGCTCTAGATTGCTTGAAGTTTTTGTCTCATTGGTATGTTTTATAAGTATGCTTCTAAATCCCACATCTCTCTGTCTGTCAGATTTGACGGTGGGCAGTCTGTTCTCTGGGTAAGCTATGCTGACACACTCACCAAACCGCTGAGCTCTGGATGATCCTACTGCGCAGAGAGATGCTAATGAACTTTTTCTCTATTTTTACCCCTAAGGACTGTCTGTTTCCTCCTGCCTTCACAATCTCAGCTGTACAGTGTAAAGACTAGTTCTGATTCTAATGTATGGCCTAGCACTAGCAAGTCATGCATATATCATAAGCATTACTCTTAAATATTAAAATGACAACATGATGATTTTGAATGACATTACATGTGCCAGCCTGCATTAGCACTGACCTGCTCGCTTCTTATCGATAACCACATAGGAGCCTGATTACCTCACATGTCTTGATCCCATTCTCTCTATTTCCCTGAAAGCTTTTACAGGATTTTTTCTGTGGATGAAGATTCAAACCAGGCTTTTCTTCCTCAAAATCCCAAGCCATCTCTAGCTCTCTGTTTCAGCTAATTTCCGTTTCCATTATCCTTCTTAAGCCTCCCAGAGAGAGTGCGTTTCTCAGAGTGCTGCCAGGCCTGTTTTTTATCTTCTACTATTCCAATACCTCCATTTTTTTCCCTCTTTCTTAGTTTAAAAACATTAATGTTTAATGTTGTATCATGTTCAGCTTGATATATTGCGTTATGAGTAGTTATAGATAATACACATGTAAAAAGTATCTTCTCAGACTCTATCAATCGTTAAAAAAGGACAGAAATACCTAATCAGGTAGTGCGTACATACAGGGGTGTCCAACTGGGGGTTTGCAATTTTTAGTGGATCCATGATTGTGATTCAGGGGGTCGACCAATTATTGTTTGATCTCTTTTTTGAACTGAATAAGGTTCAAGAAGACCCCTGTGCCAGTATGTTAGTGCACACTACACAGGTGTACTACTAGTTTTGTATCTAGTGCACAATGTGATCGTGTTTTACTGCACACCACTTTGTTCAGATTTCCTGCTGTACTATGCTGCCTTGTGCACACTAATGTATTCTGCACACTACTTTTTGTACATTATTGCACATAATGTTCTGATGTTTTAGTCCACCCTTAATGACAGATAATAGTGTGGGACAAAAGTGCACACTGATTAACGTGGTATTGTTTCATTGAACACCATTTTGTGATTTCGTACTGTACGCTACCTAGTGCACACTACGTTTTGTACTATGGTACGATGTTGAACATACTAAATACTTTATTTCGATAGTCCACTTTAGACAATCTACTAACTATTAGTAACTTTGCAACTACATGTCAACTACCAGTCATTAGAGTATTTGTAGACTGTCTAGTCCATATTACATAATGTCCAAATGTTTTAGTGCACACTACCTAAAATACTATTTTGGTGTTTGTTTTGGCCCATTGGTCCACTTCCTGCAAGCAGTGCTGAGCCGTGAATCAGTATTCCACAGGTCCGTTTGGTATTAGTATTGGAGTGGCACCCATCCTACCATGTGGCTGTGAGTGGAGGGGTTTCATTTGCATAATGTTTACTTCCAGGCATCCTCAGGAGCACCTCTGATGCTCTGTGCTTAATAATGCATCGCAAGCGCCATCTCTTAATAGGTCACTGCTGTGTTCACCGGGCCGGATTTTTCATTCTGATTTTTTCGCTGTGCCATCTAAATGTTGGTAGATGGGAAATAACCTTCTGTGCTGGAATAACATCTGGTCCCATCACATTTCCTCTGTCACTTATAAGCCATCCCAATCCTTATCCTTAATGTGAGCTCTTTTCTCCCAGATATTTTCATTCCTCTTGCATCTTTTTGCTTTCTATTTTCACTTCTTTTTCTGTCTGTCTCTCCTTTTCTCTATAGTGGTCTTGTCAGTGGTGATTTAACTATCTAGCTCTTCTTTTATCTCCTCCCCAGTTTATCATTTATTTCTCTAATAGTGGTGCCCAACGTGAGGTGCATTCCTATTCTCTCCTCCTTCCCGACACATTGTTTTCCTCCATCTCTTGCTTTTGTACTATCACATTACACTTGTTTCTGTTGGCCAGAAGGCCAGAGAAGAAGTGCTGATTATTTGGTTCTGAATTTTATCCCCACCAGAACCGCATTAAATTAATCTTCTACTATTTTTCGCATTCCCTTCTGGTGCATTGTTTTGATAAATTATTCAGCTCAAACTGAATTGTATATTTGTATTACTCATATTAAGCTGAGAATTTGTCTTCATTATGATCGAAATGTCAGCAGCATTGTTTTCAATTTCAATTCAGCAAGTGTGAATTGCTTCTCTGCACTGTATTTCCAGGACCTTGTGTGTGTGTGTGTGTGTGTGTGTGTGTGTGTGTGTGTGTGTGTGTGTGTGTGTGTGTGTGTGTGTGTGTGTGTGTGTGTGTGTGTGTGTGTGTGCGTGCTTGCGTGCGCGTGTGTGTGTGTTATATTTAATTTTTATAAGCCTCTATAAGCTACTACAATGCACCCTGCCAGTTATTTATATGACAGATATTATATTTTTTCTGAATTAAATATCCGACTTTTGTCAAATTTTACTGTTGACTGCATTTATTAATCTCAGCAATTGTGCTACCAAAGTAATAAAAATGATTTTTGTTTTATTCTATACCAAATATAAATTATTAATTTAGGCTAAATCTTACAACCTGTTACACACCCATTTTATTTAAATTTAATTAATGTTTAATTAATGAAAATAACAAAATCACACAAATCCAGATTTTCAGCTGTATTAAGACATTTTCCAAATTTTGTCATAGGGTTTCAAACTTAACAGATCTCATTTCAAACAAACAAATACATAAATAAACAAACAAACAAACTGCTCATGTAATGTAGAGGTTCAGTCTGTTTTTAAACCATTTTCTTAAAAGGAAAAAAGGTTAGAGATCATATATTGTACTTTGTTCATTAAAAATAATGTGTAGCTAGAGCGTGATGCTTTCTACTGACTTTTAATGGTAGATATCTTAGGTGCACAATGTGATCCAAACCACACAAGTATAATGCTCCCATCATTTGGATGATTATGTAAATCCAGAGAGCTGATGAAACAGTAAAAAATCTTAAGGATTGAGTCTCTGTGTTACTAACCCAGTTACACACAATGCAAGCAGTTAACTGGTTCTCACATTTGGAGGAGAATCCACCAATAAGCAGCGAGGTTTATTTCCCGGCAGCCAATCAAGTGCGTCTCTCAGCGGCTCTGCACCTTAACATATCCTGCTGTGAGAGCTGGAGGGCTGTGGCACTTCCTGTTGTTTCCGAAACTCCATCTCTGCAGCCAGAACTTTGTTCCAGTTCTTTACCCTTATCAGATCACCCTCAGATTGCCTTTACCGCAGAATATTCTTGCCATAGATTAGTGATTCTGTTAGTGTGGTTATGTTTAATGCCCAGTAAAGGCTATAGATTTCATGCTAACAAAATCTCTTTGAATTAATGGCAGTTGTTGGCTGCTCTACTCTTCAGGTTACATGGGAGTTATAAAATATGGTATTTAAAAACACTTATGACCGTGTACTGTCAGCATTTCTGCATCTGTCTGCTCTTCTCTGTTCCTGGAATACTCTCTCAGCACTTCATAAATCATAGAGATAGCACAGCAGCAGAGCAGCGTTCTGTACGGGCTCCCGAGAATGGTGTCGCCTTACACTGAAACTAAGCTAAAATAGAGAGGAAAGTGTCTTTCAAAGGACCCGTTATATAAAAGTGCCTATGTGGTTTGTGAAATCTGTTATGGCTCATTGAAAAGATACTATGTCTTGTTCTTTTTTTTCTTTTACATGGCAAGCAGTTCTCATTTTATTGCAGCATTTGTTCATATTGAGCTGGGCTGCGGTTATTGATCAAGCCTAGAGTGGGATAAACGGATGGTCTGGGTTCAGTTGTGGGGTTAATGAGCAGTTAGATGAATTCTCATCCACCACAGATGATGAATAATGTGCTTAGATAGCAGCAGAGTAAGACAGTGAAGGTGAGAGCGAGATGAGCACAGTCTGATTAAGCATTCACAGTAAATCATAGAACAAGAAATTGACCTGCAGTATTCAGTGTCTAGACTACTGTGTGATGCACAATGAATTATATGCAGCTCAATTGCAAAGCAAAAAAGAAAACATTTTTCTCTTTTTTGGGTAATTTCAGGGCCCAACAGTATAAATGATGAGCCACCGTTTCACCGTGTCACCACGTCGCCCCCTGGAGATGGATCCAGAGCACCCTGCCGCAGCAACCCTCAACCCCCCAACACTCCTGCACCCACACGCCGCACGATGCTGCCCCCTTCTCGAAGCTCCCCTGTGGGTAAGTGGACCAAACCTCCATATTTTCAGCTAGTATGCACTTCAAGAAGTATGCTCTAAACAAGATGAAATCAAACCAGAATGCAGTACAAGGCATATGCACCACTAATACAAACAATGACATTCAGTGCTACAACAAGCATGTTTAAACAAGCATGTGCTACATGTGGTATGCACTACTACAAGTATTTTTCAACTAGCATGCATAATATGCTTCAGCTAGTATATACTATAAGAATGAACTTCAAATAGTGCATATATTACAAGTTGCTCTCTGATTAGTATGCACTACGAAAAGTATGTTCTTTAGTAAGTGTACACTTTAAAACGTATGGACTATGTACTGTATAGCTAGTATGCGCTTCAATATGCACTATTAGTAAAATGAAATGTATGAATTTCAATTAGAATGCACTCTAAGAAGTATGCTCTAAACAAGACTAATTCCATTAGAATGCACTACAACTAGAGTGATCTGCAACCAGTACTACAACAAGCATGTGTTTAAACAAGTACGGACCACAAGAGGTATGTACTTCTTCAAGTATTTGTTTCAACTAGCATGCATTAAAAAAGTATGTACTTAAGCTAGTATACCCTTATGCTATAAGAATAAAGTTCAAATAGTTTATATTACAAGATGCTCTCTGATAAGTATGCACTTCAATTAGTATGCACTACAAAAAGTATGTGCTTCACTAAGTGTACACTATAAAACATGGGCGTAGTATGCTAGTATGCACTTCAATAAGAATGTACTATGAGTATGTAATTCAGCTAGTATGAATTTCAAGAAGTATGCACTACAAGAAGTATGCTCTAAACAAGGATAATCCCATTAGAATGCACTACAACTAGAGTGATCTTCAACCGGTACAATAACAAGCATGTGTTTCAACAAGTACGCAATATAAGAGGTTTAGACTACTAGAAGTATGTTCAAATAGTATGCATTACTAAAATATGTACTTCAACTAGTATATACTGTATGAATGGACTTCAAATAGTTTACATTAGAACTACTGGCATTGTTTTGTTTGCTTGTTTCTTCATAATTCAGGATGAATTTAGTTCAGTTGGCGTGTTGAAATATCGAGGTTGCATGCTTCCTCCAGTGCCAGAAGTGACCTGTCAAATGTCATGATGAATTCTCAGACAGCAGCTCCAGTTTGAAGACAGATCTCCACTGATCCATGGACACAGAGCTGAGAGCGTACTTGTCAGGCATAAGTAAACAGCGCTACCTCCCTGTTCATGTCCTCTACAGAGTCATTAATCTCCTCTGCGTGTGTGAATAATGGGACAGTCCAGTTGGTGGGTGTTGCAGCCTATGTTTAGTCAAGACTGAAATGCAGACTTTTCCTTGAGAGAGAAAAAACAGCCTTTCTTAGTGTTCAAGAAGTAGGCCATTCAGACTCATTCATCTTAAGCCCAGCAAGGGAAAAGTGGCTGGTCTACTTTCATGTGCTGTACACACTTATTGAAGCACATACTTTTTATGGTGCATGAAGGTTGAAGTGCATACTTCTAGAAGTGCACACCTCCTATAATACATACATGTTGAAATATGCTTGTTGTAGTACTGGTTGAGGATCACTCTAGTGGTAGTGCTTTCTAATGTGAATAGTCTGGTTTAGAGCATACTTCTTGTAGTGTAAAATCATTGAAGTGCATTCTAGCTAAATTTCGTACTCGATATAGTGGATTCTTATTGAAGTGCATGCTAAGTCTATATGTTTTATAGTGCACACTTTTTGAAGTGCATACTTATTGTAGTGCATACTGATTGAAGTGTATACTTACTGGAGTGCCCCAGTCGTTGTAATGTAAAATACGTGAAATCTAGTCTAAATTACTTAAAATAGATATCTTGTAGTGCATATGAAAAATGCTTGTTCTAGTAATGTTTGAAGATCAGTCTAGTTGTAATGCTTTCTAATGGAATAAGTCTTGTTTAGAGCATACGTCTTTGTAGTGTATACTCATAGAAGTGCATACTAGTTAAATTGTATACCCCTTGTGCATTTTTATTAAAGCCGATACTAGCTGAACCCTATACATTTTATAGTGCACACTTAATGAAAGTGTAATGTAAATGTAATGTAAACTATTGGAAGTCCATTCTTATAGTGTATATTAGCTGAAGTACATGTTTGTGTAATGCATGCTAGTTGAAACGATTACTTGTAGTAGTGCATACCTCTTGTAATGCGTACTTGTTGAAATGCATGCTTGTAGTACTGAAGATTACTCTAGTTGTATTGCATTCTGTTATAATTAATCCTGTTTAGACGAGCATACACCTTGTAGTGAAAACTCATTAAAGTGCATACTAGCTGAATTTCATACACTTGCTTGCAATCACCTATTTATCTCAGCTCAGTTAGGCCGATCATTAAGAAGTAGTCATCCGATTAAAGCAAGTGATGAACCATTGTGCATGCTGGTGACATTACAGAAGAGCCTATCCAATCAGAACTCGTCTATGACCATTTAACCAATCTTTTTCCTTCTGCCTAAAGGATAATGAGGCTATTAAGATGCCATGGTCCTCTTCTTTCCTCCTCATCCTCCTTTTTTTATTATAACCTGTCCCCCCCTATCTCAAGTGTTGTTATCAGTTCTGTCCCATTTTCAGCGTCACGTTTTCCGATCCTTAGCCACAGCTCTAAGAGCATATAGCTCTGCCTGCTGCTTCCCTCTTTGTCATCCTGACAAAATCTCCAGAACCCTGAAGGGACAAAAAGGCTGCCAGGGCAGCTGGCTCATCATGAAGTACTGATTTAGGGTTAGCATGCTGTCAAGGTAGTGAGCGATGACATCATTCATGAGACACTGCTGTTAAAAAACATTTCAGAGATCCTGTGCAGCTATCATATATCTCGCATGGATCTAAGGTAACCGAGTATTTATAACACACATGCAGGCTTTAGGCTGCCATACTTGAGTTAAGCATACTCACATGCACCCACCCATGGTGCACCGGTGCCTCTGATGCCGTAGGTGCTGTCTCAGCATGGGGGGTGGGGTAGAAGTGTGGTCCTAGGGAGGAGGGAGTCTATTGGGATTCTAAAGGGGTGTCTATGGCTGTCTGCTACATGTTGAAATGAGCTGGCAGTAATTAGGTGCCCTGGGACCCCTGTTGCAATGTGATGTTTGTGTGTGTGTGTGTGTGCTGTGTTGGGTAAAAGTAAGCCAAAAGCAGCAACCCCAAAAACATAAGCACCCCCTTCTGTTGTGAGATGGGAGATTTGAAAGATTCCAACCCAACCCAGCAGTGTCTTCAGTCTTTTCCTATTATTCCACAGGCAGTCCCAGTCTCTTCTGTTCGGGTGATATCACCAATAATGATAATATAGTAATTTGTACATGTAAATACTATATTTATAATTGTGTTGTAAAATCAGTATGTACATTTTCGGTCATAACACAACAAATAAGGGATCACACAGTGGTGGAATTCATATATATTAAGGAAGTCTCTTATGCTCTTCAAGGCTGCATTTATTTAATCAAAACTATATATAAAATATAACAATATTTATTATATATATATTTTTTATTCTTTTTATTTTTTATTTCTTGATTTCTTGATGTAATTGATCCTTCAGAAATCATTCTAATATATTCTGATTTGTCGCTCAAGAAACGATTTGTCGCTCAAGAAACATTTCTTTGTATTATCAATGTTGAAAACATTATAAATTTCGATGTCACTTTTGATCGATTTAATGCATCCTTGCAATGCGTTGACCATTTTATATTATTATGAGGGTTATCAGGGTTATTTCAAGAAATATTCTCCATTTTTTTCACATCAATTTGGGCTGACCACAGATCTGAGGTTTGTGAGATTGATTTTTTAATATATTTATACTGTATTCTGTACTGTATGTGCACGGATGCCTGCAGCCTCTCAGAATATCATATCGTTCAGCCCGTGTGGCAGCAGCGTTATTCTGTGGTTGGCTGCCTCTTATTGGAATCGATCCATGGACCACTGAGACCATATTATGACTCCATGGAAGAGGAGAGCGATACGAAAAGAGATAGAAAGGGGGGTGGTGGTTACTGTTGCAAATGCATTCATGGATTTGCAGTCGCATGCCCTGTATGTGTGCCCCAAGTGAATGTCCTTGAATTCAGGAAACCTCCTACACTGCCATTAACTCACCGATGTCTTTCTTTATCTATAGCATCCCGTAAGGAATTCCAGAAGAGTTCTGATGGCACCCGTTCATCTCTCTCTTCCCCTAAGAGACTCGCTGTAGTGTCTCCTAAACCACAGTCTCCAGGTAACCAACCAAAACAAAGATCAACCCAAGATTGCTTTCTTTTCATAGCTGTCCCCTGCTGCTCTACAGAGTACAGTGCTTCCATTAGAGGATGTCACCCTATTGGATAAATCTCATCTGACGCTCACATCTCCACCGAAAACCTCTTTATTTTTCTACACACACACACACACACACACACGCACGCACGCACGCACGCACGCACGCACACACACACACACACACACACACACACACACACACACACACACACACACACACACACACACACACACACACACACACACACACACACACACACACACACGCACACACGCACACACACACACACACACATAAACAGAATGAGAGAGTACATTTAAGATTTAATCAGTGTGGCCACTGGGGTCACTGTCCAGCTGTCATGTTGAACAAAATGAAACAATAATCAAAACAATACCCAATCTTCAGCATTTGATCCCCACAGTACTGTCTGTATCCCTCCTGGGGTGCAAATTATGGGTTTGAACTCATAATTAGAGTCTGAATCCCCCTGAAGGACATTAAAACAAAATGTTGGGGGTTCTTGAGAAACATGTTAGGAGGTTTCAGAGTGAATCTTTGCCCTCTTGCTTTCTTTGTCTTCTGATGAGCAGGGAATCTACCTAACATCAGTTTCGCCCACCTTACTACCCGAAAAGCAGTTTTTCTCTTTGTTGTCATAGAGACTGATTCTCAGACCAAAGACTAAGCCGCTTTAGGAGGATGGTGGCTGTTTGTGTGTGTGTGTGTGTGTGTGTGTGTGTGTGTGTGTGTGTGTGTGTGTGTGTGTGTGTGTGTGTGTGTGTGTGTGTGTGTGTGTGTGTGTGTGTGTGTGTGTGTGTGTGTGTGTGTGTGTGTGTGTGTGTGTGTGTGTGTGTGTGTGTGTGTGTGTGTGTGTGTGTGTGTGTGTGTGTGAGGAATGGATTGCGTATGAGTCAGCATAATGTTTTAAAATGTTTATTTAAATTGATGCTAGTACAGGACTTTTGTACAGGAACATCATTTTGATTAAGATTAGAGCTCTTTGATATTGTCTAACTTTATACACTATCGGTCAAAAGTTTGTGGTTGGTCAGATTTTTTCAAATGTTTTTTTAAAGATGCCTCTCGTGATTACCAAGGCATTTATTTGATAAATATTTTGTATAATTTAAAGTGTAATTTATTCCAGTGATGGCAAGGCTGAATTTTCAGCATCATTACTCCAATCTTCAGTGTCACATGATCCTTCAGAAATCATTCTAATATGTTGATTTGCTGCTCAAGAAACATTAATATTAAAACATGATGTTTTTTTCAGGATTCTTTGATGAATAGAACAGCATTACTTTGAAATAGAAATCTGTTTATAACATTATTAATGTATTTACTGTCTCTTTTGATCAATTTAATGTGCACTTGCTGAATAATTTATTCTTTCAAAAATCTCCAAACCTTTGAACACAATGTATCTCAACATTTCTATACAGTATGCAGCCTACAATGAACATAGGACAGCCGTAGCTTGCTAATGTGTGTAGAGGTTAATTCAATACCTAATAAGTCAGTAAAGGGCATTGACAAAATTTGATGCAGTCATTAACAAACAAATTGCTTGCATACTCAACACTGAGGACAACAATGACTCCATCATAGCAATTAACAGCTCTACACAGACAAGTCTTTTTTCTGAAGATTAGTTTCTACAGTAATGATGGCGGTAAATCATCTTGTCATTCCATTTGGCTCATTGTGTTTATCAAATTCATCAAGAGATGAATGCTAACACGCAGCTGCAGTAAGAACAAAAACATTAGCTGCTATTAGCATTAGCATGTGTAGTGATTTCGATTGCTTGCTTATCTTTAAGCACATTATGCCTTGGTTTTATATTTTATAAATGAAAAATATTTTACTTTTATGCTACTTTTTGAGTTTATCTCTATATAGCATAAATAATTTATAATGTCTTTATGTAACTTCCATGAGTGTCTTTGTGTGACTAATCTATAGCCTACATCCATTGTAATGCATATATTGTGAATTGCAAATATTCCATTATTATACTTGAACTATAAGATTTGATATGGTTTGTTTTGCCACTGTGCCATTAGCTGTGGGTCACATACCTCATTTTAACATTACAATGAAACCAGTCTAGTCTTTGAATAGTCCATTTGCTTTACTTATAGAGTATTCACCTAATCCAGTTAGGTATAGAAATTATGGTAAAGCTTCATGTAAATTGTTTCATGGTTGTTAAGCGCACAGTACTCCCTGGGGTGTCGTAGCATTATGGAGGCCGTTTTATTCACACAGGGCAGTTCTGAGATGAGTTTAATGAAATAGATTTTTTAGTGCTGTTTCTTTTGCGTTTCCCACTTTAGTGCTTCAGAGGCAACAGAAGGCAACAGTGGCAGTCCGAGGCTCAAGCATTCAGATTGTGCCTCGTACTGGCTCCCCAGGTCCAGAGAAGAAAAGAGAAGAAGAGCAGAAGAAAGAAAAAGAGCGAGATGAAGTAGAGAGACACGAGGAGTTGCAGCTCTTGCAGGGTCGCTATGAAGAACAGGCCAAGCAACTGCAGGCTCTTCACACAGAACTAAAGAAAACCAGCCTGGGTCTGGAGGTCTTTGTCATCTGTACTCAGCACTTCTCCCTCAAGGTATTTTATTGCAGACATCATCTAAACATCACATTTTCTTTCATATGTGACTGAATCATTAGGCGTTGGGCATACTCTACTAGTTTTTTATTATTACCACTTTACACATTTTAGAATCCTAATAAAGTCATCAAAACTATTAAATGAAACAACTAATTTTATTTTTATTTTATTTAATTTTTCATAGGTAAATGTTTGGCAACAGTTCTTCTAACCCTAATTGATGGAGTGTGTAGCTTTTCATTTCTTAAACAACCATGTAGGATATGGCCATATTCCAGGATGACAATGTCAAGATTCATCAGGCTTAAATAGTAAAAAAAATGGTTGGGAGGGAGCATGAGGAATCATTTACACACATGAATTGGCATTTTTCACACATGAATTGGCAATAAAATGATCTTGTATTGACAATGACAATGCAAGAGTCGAGCACTTTTGTACACAATCCATAAATTAGGGTTAAAAGAACTGTTGCCAAAAATTGCTATAAACATAATAATCACACTTTTATTGTATTATATTTTTGGAGAATTGGTCATCCCAAAGATGCTGTTTTCTAAATGTATTGTTGTTAAGCATAAGTACGTTCAATCAATCATGATTCACAGTACACTATAGTGACATTCCTCATGGCACAAACCCTGTGATCAAATGATTTGCTCAAGGGCACAATGATGTTACGGTCTTCACATGTCATCACTACATGAGATGTTTGTGTTACCATGCCAAAGCCTCAACCACTAGTTTACTGACCAACTAACACATCCATCTATCGTCTATCTCAACCACTGCAAACTGAACACTCAAAAACCAAAACACAAAACTCAAATAACAGCCTTTATCTAATCTATCATGAACAGAAGGATGAGGTAACTGTGTGCAAGAGCAGACCGTTGAGTCACTGTTTGCACACAGAATCACAACAAGCATATCACTGTATCCTTAGGATGAATCATATATGTTATCATCCTTATTTGTAATTCGCTTTAGATAAAAGCATCTGCTAAATTAATAAATAATGTAAATTAAAAATATTTTTTTTAGAAGCACAGTGCCCCCTGCTGTCCATCAGTGAATGATTGCCTAAATTATACATCATGAAAAAAAAAACATTTGTCCCCTGTTGCCTCTGAAATGCCTATGCATACAGTACTAATTCGAGACAAACTTAAACAAGTCAGTGAGGGGTCTGAAACATGATGGCTTAAAATATACACCCATTTATTCAATATGTTCCAGCCTAATGCCCACACATACTACATTAATATTAATTGCATTCCTCTCCTCCACATGCACTCCTGTTTGTCTGTTTAGCAGTAAAAGGTTTTACGGATAGAAGCTGTGTGTCAGTAACCTGCCAATTCCTCCCACGCCTGGCAACTCTAACATAAAGCAATCCACATTTTATTAGTTGTTATAATGCATGTTTCATTTTAAGTGCTTTTCATTATCAGGTTGGTATACAGTACATTTTCTGTTAAATGCACACTAGAGTGTTAATGCTTCTGCAGCATTGTATCAATTTATTTCTTCCTCGTCACCTTACACTTACAGACATGTCTTTTGTGTTTGATTTTGTTTAGTTTATAATGTTTGTCAGTTTCAAACACAACACTATCCGTATTCATAATTAGATTTTATTTAGGCCTTAAAAGTAATACTAAATGCAGTATGCAGTAGGTAGTAAACACTAAAAAAGTACAGTATGTGTTTATGTGAGGGTACATTGGTTCACTGTTTATTGATGTGATTACTGAACTATTAATTAGTAAAACGGTTAACCATGAAGAAATTGGACTTACTATAAATTGAATCCTAAATGGTTTATTTGTTGCTTACCCTGATATTGCTGCGACCAAATGTCCCTACAAAAATGGTTAAAACTGAAATCACCTACATTATAGAAACTAGCCACGAGGACTGAAAATGTTCCCCATGAGGAAAGAAGCTAAATAAACTTAAAATAATTCAAATAAATATTCATAAATAATACAATAATCCTGGAATAAATAATTCATAAATAATGAAAATGCACTTGGTTTTGCGGTTGGGTTCGAAGATAGATATAGATGTCAATGAAAAACTAGCCTTGAGTAGCCTAATATTGTATTTAATTGTTAGTAGTGGATTAGAATAAAAGCAGATGCGTGTTATTGTTTGTTTCAGAGTGAAAGTGCTGAGGAGAAGGAGAGAGAGTTGTCACAGGAACTCAGTCGGATTCAGCATGAAGTGGGTGAGTGTCCAGAAACTTCTAAGAAAAAAACAGTTGCCGGTTGCATAAACGGCTTAGACTAGTCTAACAATTTAGTCATCAATTATGTCAAGGATATGTTTAGTTTGGTCTGTGTTTCTTTAGTGCTTTGATTTGGTTTGTCTCTGCTGTTGTTTATTGTTTGAGTTGTTATCCTCTTAGGTGGTTTGCACTGTTTCTAGATCAGGTTCCTTGGTCTGTGTTCTATAGTTACCATGGTTTGTCTAATTTGAATCCAAAAAGTGAGACTGACTACCCCTTGAACTACAAACACGAGTAAAAGGTGTTCAGAAAACTACAAAACTAACCGACGGTTAATTAAAGAGGTTTAGATAAAGGGGTTTAAGTGACTAAGTGACTTAAGTGAAAATATTTTGTAATAATATGCATGAATATGAGGAGAGTCTCCGCATGAAAGACCCGTGACTGGCAGATCAACGTGCTACTGCATTTCTCTCCGATACAGTTGGAAATTAAATAAAATGTGGAGGATTTTATCTTTGACAAGATGATTGACAGGTCAATTTACCTGACAGGATGCGTGTAACTAAGCGACAGAGAGCAACCATTTAAAGACTCTATTTTATGACATGATAGTATGTCTAAAACCTTGTCTACTCTTCTGCTACACACTCAAAAGTATGTACTTTTTCTTCACAAAAAGAGTACATACTTTTAGGGCGTAGTATAAGTAGGCGAATTGAGACGCAGCATTGGTCTTTTCTTCTCTGTTGTGACGTATATCCCAGACAGTTAAACGGCTTCTCGAACAAGAAAAATGTAGGGCGGGACTTGAATTTGACTATCGGGAATTGATTGGATGGTTTGCTATTGTTGTGATGTCATATGAGTGACAGGTTGCCCCACCCTCATGCCAGTAAACACATCATCAGAGAAGAGAAAAGATGTTGCTGCAAGAGGGATAGGCCGTGAGACAGAGGGTTGATTGGTACCATTTTGAGGGATTAAACCGCATGGTGATTTTTGTGTAGGTATATGACCCTGTATTTGAAAAATGTGTGATAGCATTAGATTCAAGGTAGTTTTTGGTTACGGAGGACGATTTTCAAACATATGTCAAGAAAAAGTGTCATTATGTCATCAACATTAAACAGCATATAAATCAAAACTGCCTAATGTTACTGAATAAAATGTTGACCCAGGACGAGATATAGGACTGTGCAAGCATTAGGTGTGTTGATGGACTCAATCTACTCCATCTGTGTTTTGATTATCGTTCTGAAACCGATCCAGACGTAGTCTTTTTGCGCAATTTTCTCAGCTTTTTACCAGATTCAAGTGTTGATTAAAAAAAACAATACATTAAGGTAGAATAAAATTATTGTTTTCATTTGTTTGTGTGTTTGTTTAAAAGCAGAGGCTCTGTTCTTTCTTTTGATATATTACATTCAGATATTCATACCACTAAATATTCTGGGGACCATGAAACTTTTATAAAATGATCAAAAATGCTGGCAACTTTTTTCAAAAATGCTGGCGGCGAAAGAGTTAAAGATTATGAGGGCACATTATTATTATTTTTTTAATTATGTGCACGATAAACCATTTATAAGTACTGCAATATTCCTTTAAAAAAAAGCATTGTCAATTTTAAATCCATGGCTTCTTTAACAGTGGCTACATTTTTGCAACTGGCCCCTTATTTGTGATATTTATATCCATATGCTCTGTTTTTCATATCGCCCAGCCTTCAACGCAGCTCGCTGGGAGCGTCTTCAGAAGGAGAAGAGAGAGCTGGAGGAGTGTTTTGAGAGGGAGCTGAGAGAGTTACAGGTGCAGCAAGAGTCTGAACTCGTAACCTTAGAGGAGAACTTGAGATTACGGCACGCTTCGGACAGAGACCATCTCAGAGCAGAGCACCAGTCAGAGGTGGAGGAGTTTCACACCCAGCACCAGGAACAGGTTGGATCATCAGGCTGAGGATCATGGGAGATAGATTTAGGATGGCATGAATATGAAAACTCAACTGCGTGTTTTGTGTGTAGATCGAAGAGTTGACTGCCAACCACGAGGCCGCCCTTGAAGACCTGAAGACCATGCACAACATCACCATGTCAACACTGCAGGAGGAGCATGCCAGGACAATGAGAGGTGAGGGTGCCATTTGTAATACCACTACTAACCAGCTGACAGAAGTGTGGGGAAGAACGTAAATTCTGTATTCCTTCTCATTTCATTTCTCTTAGACTTAAGAAAAGCCCATGAGCAGCAAAAAGCCAATCTAGAAGAGGACTTTGAGAAACTGCGCCTCTCGCTTCAGGTGATTTGTTCAGTGACTCAAGGTTTAAGATTTTTTTGCCACTCATCCAAAGGGCTTCATTAGTAACAGTACCGTTTCTTTCAGGACCAGGTGGACACTCTGACTTTCCAGAACCGAACTCTGAAAGACAAAGCCAAGCGCTTTGAAGAGGCCCTGAGCAAGAGCACTGATGAACAAATCGTGGTAAATATAAAGGGACATTTATAAAGGGATACTAGGATTTAGGCCCACAAACGCTGAAAGTAAAGCCTGTTTTATGCTTCTGCGTCGAATCGACGGCGTACCCCCGCAGAGCCCTCTGCGTCGCCGCGAACCCCTCTCCGACCCCTCCGCCGTAGCTCGACGTGCACCTCCAAAAAATTGTAACTACGCGTCGAGGCGACGCAGACCGCAAGGGCTGTGATTGGTCAGACATCATTTCGGGAGTGTAGCTTTTCCGGTTTCCCCTCCCGCTATACCGCCATTTTTAAAGTGCGCAGTTTGTTTCAACGATGTATCACGTTGAGGAACGATTAAATCACTTCTGCGATTAAACATTTGCAATAAAATAATTTGTTGTTCAACGTCGATTAGTTCCAGCTGCAACAACATTCTCTCTCTTTCGCTCGCCATTACGCGCGTTTCCATTACAGATTTGCGCAAAACTTTTGCCTTTTTTTCTAAATGTCGATAAAAAACTATTGCCAAATGACCGATGTTATGCGACTAAACGTCTTTTTTTCCATAATCATTCCAAAAATCATGGTAACGGACGTTGGTAGCCACCGCACTAGACATTATTATTATTAATGGAAGGAGACGCATTAATGGCATTAATTAATGGCAGGGAAAGACACGGAGTTCTCCCTCATTTCAGCTCCGAGGTCTTGATTGTGGCATTTCTTTGAGGTTTAGAGTCCAGTAGGCTATTCCTGTAATTATTGTTTCTTTTATGAATTTTATGAATCCATTCGTTTTACCTTATTTAACCCGTAATTGCAAAACGAAAAATGAACGGTTGTTGTATTTTTGAAACGCAAAGTTGAACACCAAAATTTAAATTTGAACTGTAGCCTACACCAAATGCTGAAAAAAAAAAAAATATCAACGAATTTTCAGATAGGCCTAATTGTTTATGATTTTTTTGCCCCTTTATTAAACATTTAAAATATTCACAAATTAATATAGAAAAAATGTAGATTTTACTGGTTTTCTAAGGCCAAATTAGAACCTGGAAATAATATTTTTCCCGGAGTGCTGAATGAGAAGAGCCATAACCACAGAGCCTACAGAAAGGTGATTTATAGGTGAGATATAGGTTATAATAAATGTTTCTGAAAACATAACGAGGCATTTTAATTGTTTATTAATAAACTATTGTTTTCTAAATCAATGTCGGCTAAAAACATATCTCCATCTCCGGATGCACCTTTAGAGAGAAATGCACCTTTCATACGGATTACAATCAGAAGGTATTAGCTTTCGATTCGAATTTGTTCGTTTTAAAGTGGACATTTCAATAGCCTACATAGGCTATTTTTGTTTCAGTTCTCGCGCTTCAGTTCACGGAGACCATGAAAGCGCGCCTGATTGTTTTATTTTATTTTACAAAAGCAAAACGTTTTGTTGTTATTGTGAGTTTACGCAAATAAAAGAAGTTGCGAATAATGTATTATTATTTTCTGTATGACCAGAAATGATTGAGTATTTTAAGTAGTTTCCACCGTTGATAGGAAAACGCAAGTGTTCGCGCCCGAGCCTCCCTGCCATCCAGTGCGCGCTCCGCACTCTGCACACACACTTGGATATGCGTCAAAAGCTTGTGTTTATTTGTGATAATCTTAGCCCTGCCTATTATTATTGTCCAACCTGTATTTTGAATGAGATGTGACGAATTGCTTTGTTCCTTTTTTGGATAAAAGCGTCTTCTACATATGTAGCCTAATAAATGTTATAATAATGATTATTATTATTATTTGCGGACACGGACCCCAAACACACCGCGTCTTCTAAGGCAGGTGACTGTAAATGCGCAAAACCTGTTTCCAAATATTATATTCAAATATTCAAAATATTCCTTTTTCAAATTGCCTGAAAAACCTCCTCATGCGAGTGTAAAATCTTTTTTTGCGATAAACGGGAGTTTTTGCGAAATGCGTATTTTCAATTCGCAATTTCAATTCGCGCAATTTGAAGGGTAATGGAAACGAAAGCGGAACCGGCGCCCGGAACCAAAACAAACTAGCAAAGAGATTCGCAAAGCACACACCACCCTAGCGTTCTGGCGTTGAAATGCACCGCGATGCAACGCAACCTGACGCAGAACCATAAAACGGCCACGACGCCGTAGGAGTGACGGCGTAGCTACGCCGTGGAGTTGACGCAGAAGTATAATGAAGCCTTTTGTAAATGTATTTGCAGGATGCACTGGCCCCGTATCAGCATATCGAGGAAGACCTGAAGAGTCTAAAGGAGGTTCTGGAGATGAAGAACCAGCAAATTCATGACCAGGAGAAGAAGATCTGTCATTTGGAGAAAGTGGTAAGCTACAAATGAAAAGGTGTGCAGGATAAACACACTGTGCAGGAGAATTGTGAGATAAAGTATCTTCCTGTATTCAGTTTAAAGTTAAGAAAAGAAATCAAATTGTGGCCCAATTGACTAATTTGTTCCCTCGTTTTAGTTGAATCAAAACGAGGGAATAAATTAGGACAGCATAGCCACGATTTATTAAAACAAGGGAATGAATGAATAAGTCACGGGTACAAATTCTTAATTCATTGCCATGATATACTGTATATATTTTTGTCCACGTCATGTATGGGGCTCCGTAGAAAACAGTGCAAGTAAAAGACATTTTTATCTCAAGTAAAACCCCACCTTTGATCAAGGACCACATGATATTTATTGCAGGATGTTAAATAATGAATCATTTCTAATCAAATGAATTGATTTTATAGTGAATATATATCTACACTCCTTAGCTCTGACAACCCCATAATAACATCAACAAAACAAATCACACAAATAAAGAATTGTATAAATAATAAAGCAAGGACAATAATCCTTTTCTGATCCTTTTACTGCTACAGTACATTATTTATGATTTGGATATTAAATCACTTTCCATTTAAAACTGCTTTTTACTTTCTTTTTTCAGCTCCTTTGAAGGTTATATTATTTATGATTTGGAAATAGGACCGCTGTCCATTTTAAAGCCTTTTTTTTTACTCAACTTTTCCTTTCAGCTTTTATGCTTCTCATTGTTTCGTCCTCACGTAAAACACATTTCAGTCCACTGTTGTCCAGGCAGGGGAAGTTTGTGTAAGAATTTAATGTGGAGCTCTGTGTTCGCTTGATCCTTCGAGCAGGCCCAAAAGAACCTGCACCTGGAGGAGCGGGTCCAGGTGCTTCAGCAGCAGAATGAAGACCTGATGGCCCGCATCGACCGCCACCTCTCAGTGTCAAGGTCAGGGTTTGAAATAAGATCAAATTAGTCTTGCATAGCCAGTCTTTTGACTAATCCTGACTCTTTCATCCTGGATGTTTAGACAACTGTCTGAGGAGAACGCAAACCTTCAGGGGAATGTGGAGAAGGAAACCAGCGAGAAGAAACGCCTGAGCCGCAACAACGAAGAGCTGCTTTGGCTCCTCCAGACGAGTCCCCACCTGTCGCCTTCCTCTTCTCCCATCCACAGAGCCTTCTTCCCCGGCCCTGATATTCCCCCTTACCCTTACTCTCCAGGCCCTGGTACCCCCACACACTCCTATTCTCCTGGCCACTGTACGCCCACTCACAAGGTGGCTTCTCCGGGACCTGGGACGCCCACTCTGAGAGGCTCACCAGCAGCACGCTCGTCCCCCGCACGGATCCCGAACGCCAACACTTTACCCAGATGAGCTGTCCTACTGAATCTCAGCTGCCTCTCCCATTTTCTGTTACTGTCCGTCGTGGACGACAGTGCTTTGTTTTTATGTGCGGGCCATGATTTGCTTTAAAAAATGTGGCAAATTTTATTACGATTTTAACTACCCCAACTGCCAGACAGAGATCTAACAGCCTCTGTTATTTCCATTCTTTGAATTTTGAACTCAAGAAAGGATTGGAGGACGGAGGATTGAACTCGTAGCATCAGAATGAAAGAGCTACTGATGCTAATGCTAATGACATGCTGCCGACAATGCTTGGCCTGCATGGAAGCAGAATGATTTTTGTGTACAGAAGTACAGAAGTAGCTCGGCTTTAGATCGGACTCTAAAACATGCTGTTGGACTCCAACACAAATGTCTGTAGGTTCTCCTGAATGACATACGAGAACTTTATACAACAAAAAGCACTTTAGGTTTCTGCCCTACCTTCTTCCTACAGATAAATGCACCAGCATTTTTTGCGGTCTGGTTTATTTTTTTATAGGATATGTCTTCTGATTTTTCAAATCTCCCAGTGTTTGAGTTTCGATCCAGAATGTTTCAAATTTGTCAAGACATATACACTGCAAAATTTCATTTGCTTAATATTTTTTTCTTACATTGAAACTATCAAAATATTCTTAAAAAATGTACATGACAAAATTACATAGGATATGACTTGTGTTGAGGCAATTTTATTTAATTATTTATATATCCCAGTTAGCTTTTTTAAAAGCATAACTTAAATATTTCATACACTACTGTTCAAAAGTTTGGGTTCGGTAAGATTTTTTAATGTTTTAGAAAGTCTCTCGTGCTCACCAAGGCTGTATTTATTTGATCCAAAATTAATAGTATATTAATAATAATAATAAAGAAAGCTTAAATGTTTAGATATTTGTAATGAAAAACAAAAATGCTGATTAAGAAAACGATTTTTTGCAGTGTAAAGTCCTCGTCACTTTGTCTTAAGCTGCGATGCCTCCCACTGGTGCATGGGCAGATGATTTCCTGGACCCACCAAAAGACTAATCCAGCTAATATCAAAACCAGCTTTTCCAAGCAAGTGTTTCTTCATACACAGTTCAGTTCGCCTGCTGACATGATTTTGAGACCTTCCGTGGCACAGATTCATTGCGCCAGCTCGGTTAACTAGGCAAAAAACTCTTCAGCATCAAGTCTGTTCTTCATACTGTATCTGGCAAAACAAGAGCTCTCACTTCATGCATGACTATAAACAGGAAGATCAAGCAAATGTAACGATACCGACTACATGAAATGTTGTAAATTGTAGTAGTCATTTTTATTAGTAATTTGTATTTTAATGGGCATTTTGCAACTTGATGTGCATGTGATGTAAGTCTTCCATTCTTAAAGGGATAGTTCACCCAAAAATGAAAATTACCCCATAATTTACTCACCCTCAAGCCATCCTTCAGTAGGTGTATATGATTTTTAAAATGGCAGTGAATGGAGGAGGATATTTTGAAGCCCAAAAAAGTGCATCCATCCATGATAAAAGTAAATCTATACGGCTCCATGATGTTAAAGGCCTTCTGAAGTGAAGCAATGCGTTTGTATAATAAAAATATCCATATTTATAACTTTATGAACTAAAATAAATACCTTCCGGCAGACGGCCTGTGCAAGTCGACTTCAAAATAGTAATACTTGGCTCAATGTATGACGTAGGATATAGGAGTAGCATAAAACTTTGACTCCTCTCGCAGTTCAAACAAATACGGCTCGGTAACAAACTTAATCTCCTCCGACATTTCTCTTTAAAAATTCTCATTTTAAACTTCTAATTAAGTGTTTTGTTTTGCTCTATCCTCTGCGCTTCAGTGTTCGTCAGTACGTCATGCGTCAGGTCAAGTGTTACTCTTTCACCGTATATCGATGCGTACGTCCGTCTGCCGGAAGCTAGTTATTTTACTTTATAAAGTTTTAAATATGGATTTTTTTAATATACAAACGTTTATTTTTACACGAACGCTTCGCTTCGCTTCAGAAGGCCTTTATTAACCCCCAGAGCTGTATGGAGCACTTTTATCATGGATGGATGCACTTTTTTGGGCTTCATCCTCCATTCACTGCCATTATAAAGTTTGGAAGAGCCAGGACATTTTTTAATATAACTCTGATTGTATTCGCCTGAAAGAAAAAAAGTCATATACTGTATATCTAGAAAGGCTCGAGGGTGATTAATGGGGTAATTTTCATTTTTGAGTGAACTACCCCTTTAATGTGAATCCTAGGATAGTTGTCATGTTAGGGTAGACACATGGACTCCTGGGGATGATAGCTTCCACCTCAGATTTTTTTGTAATGTTTGAGGACAATATTTTACCCATAGTAATAGGACAGGAATATTAAACCTAATGTCACACCTGTCAGAGATCCAGGTGTGTTACAGGTGTGGAAAGGTTCACGGAGGTACAATATGGTGGTTATACGCGTATTTGGATTTAAGCTATCTTTATTGTAATGCTGGTTAACTCTTGTATTACCTCTGTAGAGTGTAGCATAACCTAGAGAGAGTTTTCTCTGAACGAGTGAACTAGAAGAGAATGTAACTGCGTCTTTAAATGTTGTATGATAAAGTTCAGGGAAATTATTTTGCTCTGTCTCTGAAAAGGCAGTTTTCTGATTTTTTTTATTTTTATTTTTTATGAAAAATGTGACATTCCTCATGCAAAGTGGGTTTTGATATTTCAAAGAAAAAAGTTAATTTTTTTGGAAATTTTGAAAAATTGGATTTGTTTTCTTTTTGTTTGTGTGTTTTTACAATTGATACATCTTTCAATGATCAACCTTCTACACTTTTGATACAAAGGAGAATTTTTGTAAACTGTTGACTGATAAAAATTTTTCTATAGTATTATCAGTTGGTGCTTGTACAGGGTATCGTACACAGAAGTACAATAATCTGCTATTCAAGACCAGCAATCTACAAAAATCCACACACACAGCAAATATGTATTTTTCATTTGAGACTGTTGTTTACTGTTTATAATGTTTTTTTTTTTAATTACTGTGAAATATATTTTATTTTAATTCTAATGCATTTTCAAAATATGTAGCTTTGCATTATGAATTAATTTAATTTGCTTCTGTCACTGTGATAATAACGTGTCGTTGTTAACTTTCCATTTTTGCTACTCTGGCACAGATGATAATGAGTTTTCTGGATGTTTCCTGTCAAGCACAATAACATTATATACTACCACATTAAAAAAAAAAAACATTTAAAGAGCACTTATTTTTAACCATTTTATTAAAATGTAAAACGGCAACAGATCAGCTTAGCCCTTAATGTGCAAAGTAGCAAAAATGAAAAGGGTTTTCACATTACAGCAGCCTTACAAACAGTTAATATGCTTCTAATATCTGGATTAATGCAGGAAATCTTTTTTGCTTATTTTTTTTTATTCTTTTTATATTTCTAAAACTATAAATTAAGTGGTTTCCCTTCTAATTAATTAAATTTTTCATTTTTTCCATTTTGATTCTTTGCATATTTATGTTCTAAATGTATGTCTCAACAACAAACCTCAGCAACCTCAATTAAACAATCATACGGCGCCTGCTATTGTTTATAACCAAGTACAAAATTGTCACTAATCCACATTTATTATAAGGAGTAACCATGTATTTACTTGTATACTTAAAAATCTTGAAAGAGCTCATTGGTTTCTTTCCTTTCTGCCCTCAAGACAGACTTCACTGTGGCATTAGTCCATAGATGGTGATAAATGATATAAAACAACAGAATCAGGTTCTGAGACACACTGACTCTTTGTCCTGTGGACATCTAAACTACTGAATGTCAACTTAGCCCTGAAAATACTGACAGTCAATGTACACTGGGAGTGGTGGAGTCACTTATTGTACTGAATGAAATTTGTCCATCTGTCTATTTACTAACATTTGACTTCTCATGTCTTTTTTTACTGAACTTTCAGTCGCTTGTAAGCTACTATTTATTGTGTTGTAGTGCACAGTAATAAATGCATGTTTGTCTTGGCGGATCATTCCTTCCCCATGTACGTTTTCAACTTGTGATGGTTCACGCTGTAACTGTAGCATAGAGAATATAATAAGGAATGGAAAGAATTTATATATAACTCGTTTGTATTCACTATGGGGGGAGGGGATGAATATTAAAATGTTTCAAAAGACAATGCTCATATGCTTTGGTTTGTTTGTGGATGTTGCTATACAATGGCCACAAAAAAACTATTTAAACAATTAAGACACCATGCAGTGTTCACGCTTGAAATAGTTAACTGGGTCATTGTAAACTCCATCCTGGGTTATTTTGCTTCACATTTCACTCTTTGGTTAACCCAGGATTAGTATATATACTAATTAGTATGTGTATATATTCTGCTGTTCCAATCATTTCAGATGACTTTGTCCCATGACATGCGATTCATCTGAATTTAAATGTGGAATAAGTCCACACATACACCAAATATATTATGATCACATATCTTACGACAGTAGGATGCAGAGGTTTTTTTATTACTCTTTTTTTAATCCAACACTAAGAGGGAGTGGTTGCTTTTGAAAGCCAGACAAAATGTCGACAACTTTATTTGAACTACTTTTTCAAACTCATCCTATTCCGTTTGTCTGAGTCTCACACTAAATGTATTTAATGAAATATTGAGGTGTTCAGTTTTAATTTCGATTTTAGAAAATTCAGCATGTGATTTCTGTCCTCACAAATCTGTCTCTTATGTGTTGAGGACTAGTGCATCTTTGAGCCTATATTCAGTACAAGTAAAATATTTACTGTTCAAATCAGATAGGCCTACTCTTTACTCAAGTGGTTTTGGGATTGGTAACTTGTAATGCTACTCATTGCATTGTCATTGCTACTTTTATTTAAGTATTTTATTTAGGTATTGCTACTTTTATTTAAGTATGGTGTCTACTCTTTACACCTCTGTAAAATTGGATTTGCAAAAGTTTAGAATTTAAGTTGGTATTATTTTTTTATTCATTTAATGGTTGTGGAGATGTAGGCTGATATATTTTTGGGTGTGGCTCATATGTACTAATTGGCCTTTATTTTGTGAATTCAGGAAACGGGACACTGAGAAAAGATCCCACATTTATGGGCGTTGGTTTCAAGGTGAACACATTAACAGTGTGATGTAGCCTATAGTTTTTAAATATATAAATATACATTTATTATACATTTTCTTACAATTCTCTTATACATTTTCTTCTAAATTTTATAAATGTTCTTACATGTTTTCTTAGCTATACATTTTCTTGCAAATGTTCTTACAAAATGTCTTACAAATATATTTGTACACATATATATATATATGTATATATATTAACTTTGTGTGTGTGTGTATATATATATATATATATATATATATATATATATATATATATATATATATATATATATATATATATATATGTATATATTTGTGTGTGTATGTATATAATATATATTAGGGCCGGGACTCGATTAAAAAAATTAATCTAATTAATTAGAGGCTTTGTAATTAATTAATCGAAATTAATCGCATTTTAATCGCATAAATATTTGACCTGAGAACTGTGAGAAGTAATTTTTTTCACATGGATTTTTAGTATACCATTGAATAATGACTACATACATAAGCTTAAGCAACAACATATTGTTTATTTTTGTTCAACCAAGTCCAGCAGACCAGTGCAATTTTTGCCATTAAGTGTAGCAATAGCATATTGCAACAAAATAGCATATTGCTACACTACACTAATAGCCATAATAGCCATTAAGTGTAGCAATAGCATATTGCAACAAAATAGCATATTGCTACACTACACTAATAGCAATAGCGAATTCCTTGTTGCATAGCTTGCACACAACCATGCTCTTATCGACACGTCCATCCGTTCGTTTTTTGTAACAACATTTCCCAGCCACCGGCCAACCAAAGCGATCTCGTCAGCTTCTTCGTTATACTGTCTATGACCGTTTCTCAATATGCGTTCTTGTCTGTACTTGTGTTCTTGTGGACTTGTGAAACGTCATCAGTCACTGCCCAAGTACTGTTCCCCCGGTCTTGTAGGTGGAAGGGAGAAGTTGTTCCACTCAAATAAAACCGGAACAACACCCTTTTTTAACAGCCGACGACCTGTTTCTGATGCTGGTTCACGGATGTCTTCCGTTCTGAAGTGCCGGCTACACACTCTGGTGTGAGGCGTCACGGTGAATTTGTCCCTGCGAATATTGACGATCCACTTACGCCTCAGCTCCTCATCAGTAGGAAAAGTAAAAAAACTAAGTACAGAATTGTACTTTGCGGATGCCTGGCACTGTGGCACACAGCAGTGTTCGGCAGTAGTACCAGACACTCTCTGGTATTTAAACCAGGGGTCTCAAACTCAACTTAACTGGGGGCCGCTGGAGGTAGAGTCGGGGTCAGGCTGGGCCGCATCAAGTATTCCACAAAAAATAGTATTCAAGTATTCCAAAAAAGGAGCACAACTGATCCAATCTTCTCAATATTTATTATTAACGTTTCTTCTGAACTGTTCCTCTGAATTTGAACATTCCTTTCTGTACATGATTGGTTCTTCATGAGCTGTCCTTCTGACAGTTGAAGTTCATTTTACAAACTTTCTTTGTGTATAACACATATTTGTGATATTTATATTTGCTTATGTCCTTTTTATTTTCTTTATACAACACATTAATGATATTGAATGTTTTTTTTTTGGAAGGCACATTTCCTTTTATTATACTTAGAAAAACAATTATTGCTTTTGAAATACAAATATTTGCAGTCATGTCTGCCCGTCTTATTGAATTCTTTCTACACATGTATAGTGTCTCAGGCAAATACTGCACAAATCAAAGCAAACCTTCTTATCAACCTGTTGGACACATATTACAAGCTCAAAATGATTATTCTCACATTGTTTTAGAGCAGGGTCTCTCTCCAACACGTCGCTCCCGTTCACATATCGCGCTCACATATTTTGCGCGCTCAAGTTCGTTATTTCAAATGTAGGTGCGCGGCAAGCGCGCTCATAATTGAAGCGACGCGCTCATTTTTTCCAGGCGCAGTATGTTTGTACTTCGCGGTTGTCTATGACAACTATTGACAACAAACCCACCGTAAACTGTCACGAGACTATCTATGGTAGCCCATAAGGGATAAAAAAATATATATTTTTTTAAAAAACGCGGCACACGCAACGACGGGCCGCACTAACATTAAACTTTAATGTCAAGTAGGGGGCCACAAAATATCACCCCGCGGGCCGCAAATGGCCCGCGGGCCGCGAGTTTGAGACCCCTGATTTAAACTTTGATGACTTCATATCAACTCATAGACTGTAAAAAAAACTAGAAGCAGCTACCAAAACAATTCGACGCTTAGGCTAACCGGAAGTATTCGTGGTGGCTGACATTTCAGCGGAAGTACGTCACAACAGCCGTTGGCATTTAGCCTATTCAAAGCCAAATCCAGTTCAAATCCCCGGATGTGTTCTTGATCCGCCCCGTTTACCGAGGATGCACCGAGAGGTGACTTGTGCGGACTTGAGACAGCCAGGTATCCCAGAATGCATCTCGCACCAACCAGCAAGCGTCAGCAGAGGAGAAAACCCGCTTAATATCAAAATACTACTGTTATTGTGTCATGAAATGTAATTTTAAGAGTGTTTCAGGCGAGAATGTGGTTGTTTAAAACTCAAATCTGTGGTTTATTTATAAAGATAGCGCCTATTTCAAAAATGTCTCTGACGTTTTCAGAGTTGTGACATCAAGGCGTTCACCGCGGGTGTTCAACCCCAGTGGGCATTTGATGTCAATTTAACATCAAAATTACATCAAACATTGATGTCAAAATTACGTCACGAAATAGGTCAAAAATGAAAGTCAAATTGACGTCAAAGTGACAACGTCAATTTGATGTCAAGATTTTGACCTCTGCCGATGTCATTTTGATGTTATTTTGATGTCATGCTTTGTTTGCATTTGATGCCAATTCAACATTTATTTGACGTCAAGATGTCATGATGTCATTTTAATGCTATTTTGATATCATTCAATATCAAGCTTCGATAACAATTCAACATAAATGTGACATCAAACATTGATGTCAAAATTACATCAATTTATTGACATATTTTGATATCATTTAAATGCCAAGCATCACTCAATTCCAACCTTAATGTACAATGACTGACAACATACACATACTTTGAGATCTGATATGTTTTTATTTAATTTTTTTGAGCAGTGTAATACAGTGGGGGCGCTATGGGTTCACACCTCCAGGGCTCTCAAGTGCCTGTAAAAGGGAACAAGAGAACAAGAAAGCAAACATTAAAATGGGGTCTGACCATTAACATAACTAATGCTTTATATATATATACTAATATTTTTTATAGATCCCAAGACAAGCAATGCTGCCAGACGCAAATATTGCATTGCAATATGCATATTTGTGGTGCAAGTGTTCTTGAATGGATATCAGATGAATTCCGCAGCATGTTTATATAGCTAAAGCAGGTTCTAGCATTGCGCAGTGCGCAGTGCGCATCCTCTCATTATATATTGGCGACTAAACTATCAATTTTATCCAGAATGGCCTTTTTGGATTATAAAGGTAAGAATGTAACGGTCTCTTCATTCCATTTGTGGCGTTTTCTGTCACCTTTTGACATTTTCCCTCCAAAATGCTGATATGCATTTTCCCTCCAAAACTGTAGGCTACACTCTTTCCTGAGTCCTGACTGTCCAATAGACTTGAGTAAGAGACACGCTATTGGTTGTCGGTTGCTGAAAACTATAGCAAAAAATATATAGGCTATTTAAAAAAAAAATCAAAGTATTTTGAGAGAGATTTTTTTTCTCAGAAATAATTTAAAACATTTTCAAATTTATATTTTGTTATGTTCTATGAGAAAATACTTTCTCTCAAAACTTTTTTTAGTCTCAAATATTATTTTTTGCTATTGGTATGAAAACCTTTTCTCTCAAATATTCTTTTTTCTCTCATCAAATGCTTTTTTTGCTATTAGTGTGATAACCTTTTTTTTTCTCTCAGATCATTTATCTTCTCGCATGTAATAAAGACACATTTCTAGCTCCATATGAAACGAATATTATCCCAGGTTAAAATGTGTGTATAGAACGACGAGAACCCGAGGTTAAGCGAAGTCTTTAAAGCCTTAAAACGTGTGTGTAAACGTCTTTGCATTCATTCCGAAACTGCAAACAAACTTAAACTAACTTTATTTTTCTGATGTTTTAGCTCACTAAGCTTGCTTTTGAAAGCCAGACAAAATGTCGACAACTTTATTTGAACTACTTTTTCAAACTCATCCTATTCCGTTTGTCTGAGTCTCACACTATGGTATAACATACGTGCGATGTTTCTTGCCACTTGTTTTTTTATTTTTATTTTATTTTATTTTTACAACTAATGCAAAGACATCCTAACATTTTTATACGTGACTGAAATGGCCAAATGCATCTTGTACTTATACCATCTCTCTATTGGTTTCCACTCCTCCCTTCTTTCTGCTACACAAACACTGAGGGTGTGTGTTCCTTTGAGGATTTGTAGTCTTGACAAACAAACGTAAGGAGTGGAAGTCTTTGTCTTACAGGTTTCCCAAACGAATAATAAGATCAGTGCATAACGTGACATGATGGGATCTTTCTGTTCTCTGTACCCTGCGACTTTTCAAGTGGATTTGAAGGCAAAGGCAAACAGGCTTTAAATATGGAAATATTTATCCCATTATAACTTACAGGTAAGAATCACCAGCTCTATTTATCTACTCTTAAAAAATAAAGGTTCCAAAAGGATGTTTTTGATGCCATAGAAGAACTATTTTTGGTTCTATTTTTAGTTTTCTATAGATGTTAAAGGTTCTTCTTCTCCATTGTTATCAATAACAAAGCAGGCTGTCTGTCTGTCTATCACTTTAACCAAGAGACTTGTATTATTCACAATAGATGATTGAACTTATTTTTTGTCATTAGTTTAGCCACTGTTTTATGTCTTCTCAAACATCTCTCCTGTTCCTTTTGCCTGATATAGAGCAGAAGTGGGATGGGTCGTGTGTACCTGATCGAGCCGGCCGTGGCCATGTATGCGTTTGCCATGTTTATGATCTACCCTCTGCTCCAGCAGTATGTGTACCGTAGGCTGTGGTTTGAGCTGAGCGGAACAATGTACCCTGCAGAGAGTCTGTCTCACTGCTCAAACAACCACAGCTATGTCACCATTCACCAGGTGAGCGGTCACAGCCGTCACAGAGACATGATTCTTTTCATGATTCAGTCATGGCCACTTCTGAATTCTCTTTTTAATCTTTTAATCTCTTCTTAAATCTTATTTTTAATGGTTTGTATCTATGTTAAGGCATTTATCACATGTTCAGTGAAGATCTGAGTCTAATGGTAATGATATTTTTTTGTTTTTGGCAACACAGGTTAGCTACCAGTCAATGAATCTATAACTTGTAAATGTACAAGAATGACAAACAAATGGATTGTTTCTAAAATATGCCAAGCTACTTTATGGAAAAGTTTTTGGGAAAATGATCTAAAATGCTTATGGCAATGACAGCTGTATTAAGGACGGCAATTCTTTGTTTTTATTTACTTGCATATTGATTTAATACCAGTTTAATTGAAATTATGGCTATTATTGTTTACGTTTCTAGAAAAAAATGCATAAATTGATCATATAGGGGAAATAAAAATGTCTGGGTTTAATGAAGATAGAATAAAATAAAGGATACATATTAGGTGAAAAACTTTAAATGAAAATGAGAAATGTTGAGTAACTGAAATAATCTTAAGTATAATAGCACTAATATGAAATAAATCCTGAATATTTATATTAATAAAATTGAATAAATAAAAAGACAAAAGCACATAACAAAATCACTAACACTTAATATAAAATGAAAACTTTAATAGTGCATAAATAACACTTTAAAAAAAAACTCTGGTCCAAGCCAATTTTAACCTTCAATATTTAAAACAAATCATGAAAAATTACTTGAAGAGTCACAATGAACAATTTAATGCTAATTTAATATATATATTTACTTAAATTCAGAGAAAGACAGATGAAAACATTTGATACAGAATCAGGTTTGACATTCATTTTGTTTATTTAGTGCATTCAGATACTAGACTGTTTGCTGCGTCACTGTAAAGTTTATATTGATGTTCATATCTCAATAAAGGAGTTCTAGAGAACCGGTTATATTAGGTAAAGTTGAGCTCATGTTCCTTTTCAATTCACAAGCCTTTGTTGTGAGCTTGTCATTTGATACATTTGAAATACCATTATCCGATTTCTAGTTCACTTTCACTATCTCAGGGGTCTCAAACTCAACTTAACTGGGGGCCGCTGGAGGTAGAGTCTGGGTCAGGCTGGGCCGCATCAAGTATTCCACAAAAATAGTATTCAAGTATTCCAAAAAAGGAGCACAACTGATCCAATCTTCTCAATCTTTATTATTAACGTTTCTTCTGAACTGTTCCTCTGAATTTGAACATTCCTTTCTGTACATGATTGGTTCTTCATGAGCTGTCCTTCTGACAGTTGAAGTTCATTTTACAAACTTTCTTTGTCTATAACACATATTTGTAATATTTATATTTGCTTATGTCCTTTTTATTTTCTTTATACAACACATTAATGATATTGAATGTTTTTTTTGGAAGGCACATTTCCTTTTATTATATACTTAGAAAAACAATTATTGCTTTTGAAATACAAATATTTGTATTTATTGAATTCTTTCTACACATGCATAGTGTCTCAGGCAAATTACTGACTGCACAAATCAAAGCAAACCTTCTTATCAACCTGTTGGACACAAATTGCAAGCTCAAAATGATTATTCTCACATTGTTTTAGAGCAGGGTCTCTCTCCAACACGTCGCTCGCGAGCTACCAGTAGCTCGCGGCCTGATTGGTGGTAGCTCGACAAGGGGCCGTTCACATATCGCGCTCACATATTTTGCGCGCTCAAGTTCGTTATTTCAAATGTAGGTGCGCGTGCGCGGCAAGCGCGCTCATAATTGAAGTGACGAGCTCATTTTTTCCAGGCGCGCAGTATGTTTGTACTTCGCGGTTGTCTATGGCAACTATTGACAACAAACCCACCGTAAGGTAGCCCATTTAAAACGCGGCACACGCAACGACGGGCCGCACTAACATTACACTTTAATGTCAAGTAGGGGGCCACAAAATATCACCCCGCGGGCCGCAAATGGCCCGCGGGCCGCGAGTTTGAGACCCCTGCACTATCTCTTTCTAACTAACTAGTCAATCAACTAAGCTTTAAAGGCATAACTAGCAGAATTTGTGGGTGATAATAAACATTTGAACCTCCAGTTTTTCTCTCCTCTCTCAGGCAGTGCAGAAGGAGACGTCTCTTTTCCTCCTCAAGAGTGAACTGTGCTTCCTCGTTCCCAGTCTCATATCCACGCTGCTCCTGGTCTCGTACAGCGACTACTGCGGGCGTAAAGTTGCCATCGTTTCTCCACTGGTGGGCGAAACTCTGTTTTCCCTGAGCTACGTTTTGGTCAGTAGATTTTCCTTCAGCCTCAATTACCTGCTAGCTGCCTCCTTCCTAACAGGCCTGATGGGCGGACCCACCACTCTGATCGGCGGATGTTTCGCCTATGTGGCCGATCTCTGCGGAGAAGGACAGAAGACTGTCCGAATGGCTCGACTGGACATGATTTTAGGGGTTTTGTCTGGCTTAGCTTCTCTGTGTACTGGATTCTACATTGAAGCAGCTGGCTTCACTTGGCCCTTCCTCACCGCTGCGTTTGTGCATCTGTTAAACCTCCTCTATGTGCTGGCGTTCTTGAAGGAGTCCCTGGTTCTTCCGAATCCCATTCTGTCTACGTCCAGCTGCTCAGATTCAGAAGCCCCTCGGCTGCGACAGTCTCAGGCTCTTACCGCCCGTCTGCAGGGCGTCTACCTGCTCTTTGCGGCCTCCAAACGGAGAAGGAACGTAGTGCTGTTGCTCATGCTTGCTGCTTTTGCCTTTTTTAGGGTGATTATGATAATTCTGATTTTATTCACAAGCTCCATCAGTTGGAGGAACATCATAAGTAAGGGTGAAGTGTGTACGCTTTGTGCCTCTTGTGGCAAAAAACAGAATTGCAAAAATAATGATCAGGTTATATTGACAGGTTATACTATAAGCTGAAGTCATACGATACTGTACAATTGACCCGTTTCAGCTTCAGAGTAAAAATTAAAAATAAATAAAATAAAAGGGTAATTACACTTTTTTTTTTTTTTTAATTAAGAGAGAAATGTCAGCAAAAATGCATTACATTAAATGGAAAAGACATTTATAATCTTACAAACAATTTCTATTTTCAAATAAATGCTGTTTTTTAAACTATTTTATCACTGTCAGCATTGATAATAGCATTGATGATAATTAGCATTGATAATAAGAAATGTTTCCTGAGCAGCAAATCAGCATATAGAATGATTTTTGAAGGTGATGTGACACTGAAGACTAGAGTAATGATGCTGAAAATTCAGCCTTGCCATCACTGGAATAATTTTAAAATATGTTAAAGCAGATAATTACGGAAGAGGATTAGGGCCAAAAATAAAACCGTCTCGAGTTTAAAGTCATTATAATGCGAAATTAAACTCGTTAAATTTCGAGAAAAAAGTCGAAATACAATCTTGAGAATAAACTCATTAAATATCGAGAATAAAGTCGTTGTGTTTCGAGAAAAAAACTCTTTAAATTTCGAGAATAAAGTCGTTGTGTTTCGAGAAACTGTCTCCATGGTTACTTTGTAAAAACCTTTGCATTGCTGCCACACTACCATTTTCTGTCCCCATGTCCGCGAGGAGCTCTCGGGACACCCTCCTATGCCAGTAATTGTTTTTATGAAGTAGCTATAACTGGCTACTACTGTAGGATCGTTATTGGTTGTGTACGCCTCCATCCACAGAATGTAACGACTGTAACCATCTATACAGCCATTAATGGCAATGCCGTATACGGTTTTAATTTATCATAGCTGTCATGGCAGAGTGCTATGGAATGCCAAAGCTGACTTAATTAAAAATAAATAAATACATAAATGAATATACGAATAAATGTAAAAAAGCAAAAATACATACATAAATACATAAATAAATATACAAAGAAATGTAAAAAAGTACAAATAAATGAGTATTTATACTTTTATTTCCTTATTTATGTATAATTGTATTTTTTCACACATTTTTATTTATTTTTATTTATACATTTATTCATTTATTTATTTCCACTTTTATTTATTTCCACATTCATTTATGTATATATGTTTTTATGTCTACATTTATTTATTTTCACATTTATTTATTTATACATTTATTTATTTCCACATTTATTTATTTCCACATTTATTTATTTCGACATTTCTTTGTCCGTATGCTAATGAGGGGGGCGTGTTTTACCTCAGACATCAGCAATCGAGCTCAGAGTGGCAGTGCTGAAGCTTTGAGGCCACAGTTACACGACAATATCTCATTTTAAGTCATCACCCTAACTGTTTGCAGGGTAGGCTATAGGGTTAACACACGTGACACTAGCACACATGAACAGAAACTGCACTTCAACGGGTCTGATAGCAGGCACTTGGACATGGAAGGGCATGAAAGTATCCACTATTAATAACAATGTAAACGCGGTGGATAGGGCTGATAAGAGCTTGCGTTTACTGTCGATGATGAGACTCGCACACCAGCGCAGAACGCGGAAAGAAACCAGCGCACATTTCACTGACTTCTACGCAAGCATATTGATCAATGAGTTTGAAACGCGACTCAATATACGGTTTACATTCGCGTTTCATAATTTCGCATGCATAACAGGTGACAATTCAAATGCTTAAAACACAACCCATATTTCATAGATGCTGCTCTATACTGATTAATCACAAGTCATCAATTTGGAATTATTCTTAAATCAAACAAAAGGGGCTCATGTAAACGCAGCTAGTGAGCCACGCATCTCACCCCATGCAGTGGAGGACAGAAGCATCATCATGCCCATTCAAACTGCCCATGGTCGTGCTGATATTGCCCCCTATAAATTGATGTTATATCTACCAAACCTTATAGGTAGGCTATACATCATCATATATGTCAAGTTCTTAATATTAATCGATAAACTACTCAGTTATAATTATAATAAGGCACTATGGCTGTTATCAGTAAAATAAAATTAACAAAAGTCATTAAGTCATTAAAAGTCAAAATCTTAATACAGAGGAGAATGCTTTTACACTGCAAATACAATTGCATAAAAGTCGTTATGAGATTAATGTTAAAAATAAATGAATATAGAAATATGAAATGAATTAAATTAAATTGTATGTTTAAATATAAAACTAAAACAGCCAGTAGGTGGCGGTAAGTCACTGTCTAAACGAGTGAGTCATTTCATTAATTCAGACCGATTCATTCAAATAGCCTACTGATTCATTCCGTTCGGGGGGGGGGGGGGGGGGAAATTATAATAAAATTATCTCATACATGGGCTTTTTTTTTTTACAGCATTTATTTCATTTCAGCTCAGACACACATCGCCCCGCCATAATTTTGCTCCTTGAGCTGTACAGTTTAACTGTAACAGGTGGTGTTTTCCCTTCTTATACTGTCTATGTGTTTTCCCGCGAACTGAATGAATCAGTATTTGAATGAATTGGTCTGAATTAATGATATGACTCACTCGTTTAGACAGTGACTTACCGCCACCTACTGGCTGTTTTAGTTTCATATTTAAACATACCATTTAATTGATTCCATCATTTCATATTTCTATATTCATTTATTTTTAACATTAATCTCATAACGACTTTTATGCAATTGTATTTGCAGTGTAAATGTATTCTCCTCTGTATTAATATTTTGACTTTTAATGACTTAATGACTTTTGTTAATTTTATTTTACTAATAACAGCCATAGCCTTATTATAATTATAACTGAGTAGTTTATCGATTAATATTAAGAACTTGACATATATGATGATGTATAGCCTACCTATAAGGTTTGGTAGATATAACATCAATTTATAGGGGGCAATATCAGCACGACCATGGGCAGTTTGAATGGGCATGATGATGCTTCTGTCCTCCACTGCATGGGGTGAGATGCGTGGCTCACTAGCTGCGTTTACATGAGCCCCTTTTGTTTGATTTAAGAATAATTCCAAATTGATGACTTGTGATTAATCAGTATCTAAGAGCAGCATCTATGAAATATGGGTTGTGTTTTAAGCATTTGAATTGTCACCTGTTATGCATGCGAAATTATGAAACGCGAATGTAAACCGTGTATTGAGTCGTGTTTCAAACTCATTGATCAATATGCTTGCGTAGAAGTCAGTGAAATGTGCGCTGGTTCTCTTACGAGAGTATCTCTCGTACTGCGTAATAGCTTACGCTAGGGGAAAAACTCTTTTCCGCGAGATATTGAAGCCAAAAATTATCCTTAATTTTTTATTAATGTAAAACGCTTTGCAGCAGCAAGCAGACATAGGCGAAACAGCTCGCGCGCCTATTGGTTGCTCTGCAGCAAATGCAGCAGCCTATCGAGAGAGACTCTGCGTGACGTAATGACCAATGGGGGCAATTCGCGCCCATATCGTCACGTCCCGCCAGAAGGGGCGTGGTCTCACCCTATAAATATGCTCGTTAGGCTGATACAAGCTGATTTTTACCTCTTCAGCGAAGCACACGCATCGCTGGATCCGGAGTGAGAAGCCGCGCCGTCGAAGCAAGCCTTTCAGCGGGACGAGCTCTGGAGTCGCTGGCCTCGCCGCCTTCAACTGCCGTACCTGCTGCGCTTTCCGGCGTTCTATATCCTTTCATACTCTGTGTGTATTTACTCTGTTGAGAGTGTTTGCTCGCTTACTTGACGCGACTCACACTTCTCTCACAAAAAGAGCTGCGTCTTTTTAAAGATGCCTTCCTGTGGCTCGTGCCGCGCCCCGCTCAGCGATGGAGACCGGCACGTCATCTGTGTTTCCTGCCTGGGTGAGGATCACGCGGCTCTCGCGCTCGCTGACGGCGGATGCCCTCATTGCGCTCGAGTCGCTCACTGACGGACAACGGCCGCCGCCTGCCGCCGCGTCCATCCACGAGTTTGACGAACCCACCGAGGCGTGTTCTCTTCTGGCATCCGATAGTGAGGATTGGGCGAGCTCCGTGGATCTCCCCTCCGCTAGCGTTTCCCGCCAGACCACTGGTAAGAGAGCCGGCATTGAGACTGAGCTGATGCGTCTGCTCTCTCAGGCCGTGGGAAGCATCGGCCTCGACTGGGAGGCGCCCGCGCAACCGCCGCGCAACAGGCGAGCTCTGTGGACCTCCGCCTTCTGTCCGCCACGCATCGCTGGATCCGGAGTGAGAAGCCGCGCCGTCGAAGCAAGCCTTTCAGCGGGACGAGCTCTGGAGTCGCTGGCCTCGCCGCCTTCAACTGCCGTACCTGCTGCGCTTTCCGGCGTTCTATATCCTTTCATACTCTGTGTGTATTTACTCTGTTGAGAGTGTTTGCTCGCTTACTTGACGCGACTCACACTTCTCTCACAAAAAGAGCTGCGTCTTTTTAAAGATGCCTTCCTGTGGCTCGTGCCGCGCCCCGCTCAGCGATGGAGACCGGCACGTCATCTGTGTTTCCTGCCTGGGTGAGGATCACGCGGCTCTCGCGCTCGCTGACGGCGGATGCCCTCATTGCGCTCGAGTCGCTCACTGACGGACAACGGCCGCCGCCTGCCGCCGCGTCCATCCACGAGTTTGACGAACCCACCGAGGCGTGTTCTCTTCTGGCATCCGATAGTGAGGATTGGGCGAGCTCCATGGATCTCCCCTCCGCTAGCGTTTCCCGCCAGACCACTGGTAAGAGAGCCGGCATTGAGACTGAGCTGATGCGTCTGCTCTCTCAGGCCGTGGGAAGCATCGGCCTCGACTGGGAGGCGCCCGCGCAACCGCCGCGCAACAGGCGAGCTCTGTGGACCTCCGCCTTCTGTCCGCGAGTCG